TTATTCCCCCCTTTCTTTTTTTTTCCAAGGAAAAAAAAGCAAAAAGGCCGAACCCCCCCTTGCCGGGTGGGGCTCCCCCCCTTCATGGGACTCCGCGGAATCCCTCAGGGCGTTTCGCGTTGGGTGAGGGGAGACCCGGTTCCGGGGAGACCCCGGCTTGTTCCGTCCCGGCTTTTTAGAAATGGGAGGTCAAGGGTTTAAGGATTAGGGGCAGCCAGGACTGGGAGTCCCCCCCCCCCCCCGCGCGCGCCACGAGTACGCCCCCCCCCCTTTCCTTTCCCACGTCAATGAACGCTCGAAACCAGTCGTTGCACTGGTTTGCTTGATCACCGCGATCTTCCCTGGCACCCCTTGCTGTTGGTGGCGACGTTTGAATGTTGGCCCTCCTTGCGCGCACGTGCCCTCCCCCCGTCCCCCCTCTTAAGGCTAAAGCCCTACGGCATCCTAGCCACGGGGCCCCGGCACGGCTTGGTGGAGTTCGTGTCCGGGTCTCAGCCAGTATCGGCGGTGCTCTCGGCGCACAACGGGAGCATCTTAGAGTGAGTTTCCCAACGGAGAGCTGCCGCGCTAACGCCCAAGGATGTCGAAAGCAGCAGTAGTATAGTGTCGGGATTGCAACCAACGGTGTTGTAGCATGGTTCTTGTGGTTTTCCGTATTGGGTACCGTATACGACACAGGATAGCACACCCCCTGGACCGATTTTCAAATCTCGATTGATCAACAGCAGAAAGAGCCGGAGCGCCGAAAACGGCGGCCTTGAAACCGTCTGGTCGAGAGCTCTCCAACAACGTATCGTTTCGTTTACGCATCCTCTTCATCGTGGAGTAATCGAGCTTTGAGAGTCGGTCCAGGGGTTGTGTTATCTTGTGTCGTACACGGTACGCACCCTATCGGCGGCGGCGGCCTTGTCTCCGGTTGTTCGTATTTTTGTTCGCGATTTTGTAAGGGAAGGCTCTAGGGAATTATGATGGGGGTTGCCGGCCAAAGACTTTTCGATCGAAGCTGCAGCGGTTGCTGTCATACGCCAAGTCGCTTTCGGAGGGGCGGAGAATAACGCATGCGTAGCTATAGAGGTACTGCTTCCCTTGCCGTTGCGACAATCAAACCTTCGCGTCTGGTTGATCACATTCATTATCAAAGGATAGTCACAGATTTCCTTACGCCCCCCCCCCCAAACTTCCACCTCGCGCGTACCCCCTCAAATCCTCAACCCACCCAATACTCCATACTCTCTCAAATCTATGCATACGTCGTATGCAAGTCTCTCTCTTTTGCGTGCAACAACACGTCGGCGTGTCCCATCACTTTCAGAGATCCGATCGCGCGCTGCTGCTCTGTTTCTTTTTTGTCGTGTTGTGGGCGAGCAGGTACCTTCGACACCACAACCCGGACCCCTCCGCACCTAAAGGGGTCAGGGCTGCGGGGGTCCAAAACTTCGTCAAGAACACCGCAGGGTACTGCGTCATCACCTACCTGGTGAGAAGAAAAAAAAGGTTGGAGCGCGGC